GACCAGCCCGATCACATGTGCGAATGACGTACGAGCAGGGAGCACTACTCCGAGACGCCCCATGCTGAGCGTACCACTCACGAAGCTGCTGGGGCGTAAGGGTCTCGCGCGGACGCCGTTGCAACTGCATCTGGCCACCGCCAGAAAATCCCCTCCGAACAAATCCACGGCAACTGCCACAACTGCCGCCGCCACTACCCCAACTAGCGTACCACTCACGAAGCTGCTAGGGCGTGAGGGCCTCGCGTGGACGCCGCTGGAGCTGCAACTGGCCACCGCCAGAAACTCCCCACTGAACAGCTCCATCGAGACTACCACTACGACCGTCGCCACCATTCCCACTGCTGCCACCACCGCCACCACCACTCCCACCGCTTCCACGAAGAGACGTCATAGTGGGCGAAGTAGGGAGGTGTGCGGGAAGGGCTTGGCGACGCGGCAGCGATCGGCGCGCAGGCAGGGCAGGGCAGCGCGGCAGCGAGCGGCGCGCGGGCAGGGTGGCGGCGCGGCAGCGAGCGGCACGCAAGCAGGGCAGGGTGCGCGGTGGCGAGCGGCGCGCGGGCAGGGCTGTGGCGCGGCGGTGAGCGGCGCGCAGACAGGGCAGGCGGCGTGGCGGCGAGCGGCGCGCCTGCAGGGCAGGGCGCGCGACGGCGAGCGGCACGCGGGCAGGGCGACGCGGCGGCACGTGGCGGCGGGCAGGGCGCGGGCGGCGCGTGAGCAGGGTGACGCGGCGGCGAGCGGCGCGCGGGCAGGGCAGGGTGCGCGGCGGCGAGCGGTGCGCAGGCAGGGCAGGCGGCGTGGCGGTGAGTGGCGCTCGGGCAGGGCAGGGCGCGCGGCGGCAAGCGGCGCGTGGGCAGGGCAGGGCGCGCGGAGGTAAGCGGCGCGCGGACAGGGCAGGGCGTGCGGCAGCGAGCGGCGCGCAGGTAGGGCAGGGCAGGGCGTGCGGCAGCGAGCGGCGCGCAGGCAGGGCAGGGCAGGGCGTGCGCGGGCAGCGCGACGCAGGGCAGGGCTTGCGCGGGGCAGCGCGACGCAGGGCAGGGCGGCGCGACGTGTGGGGTAGCGCGATTCGGTGGGCCGTCCTATGAGAGGACCTGCTCTGAAACCATGTAAGAATGTGAAAGCAAGGATGAATGAACTAGCAGCAGGATGGGTACAAGTACTAACCCAAAATTGGGTTGTACCCCATATGGGCTACCCCACTATAGCCTACACAACATGCAACATCTAAGTTTGACACGTGGACCTCCACGAAGCAGCTCCAGAGCCCAGGCTGAAGCAGTACCCCTGAGTAGACCTCTGAGTCTCGGCGTCGTCAGCATAAGAAGAATCACAGTGTCCAGAAGTACGACAGACTGTCTCCCTCCAACAACCAGCTCCACGCGTGATGTCGTTGCTAGGTGCTTTGCCACCCTCACAGCAGCTGTCTAGTGAACACGACGGTGTCTCCCTGGCACAACAAAGCGAGCAAGGATGCTGAGAGGGAAGGCGAGGTCCGCTTCACCCTGAAGATCTGCATGCCATCGACTACGTTCGCCCCGGAGGGGAGGAACCTCGTCGACGTAGGTGCCTGTGGATCTGTAGGATGCCATCTCTGAGTCCATGGCAGCTCTCCACTGAGAGGCCCAAGGCCCTGACACTGCCTCAGCGTTAGTGCGAGGTGTAGGTATGTCAAGGGCGTCGGAGTCTCCCTCAGGGGCGAGCAGCATGGCACAGAGATGAGGGGAAGCGGCTGCCAGGAACTCCAGCTCAAAATGCCTGTCTTCTACGGCGTCACAGCCAAGGGTAGACTCACCCCCGACGGCCAGAGGACTGGTAGGAGGAGCAGCCACAAAACTAGTGGCGTAGTCAAGGCGGCAAGTAGAGGCAAACTCAGTGACTGCGGCAGTAAGAGCGGAGATAGAGGACCGAGAAGCATGGGGGTATGTAACAAGAGAGGCGAGAACACGCTAAAGAACGGGACTGAACGTGCGGTAGTAGTCAGTGACAAGAGTAGAGAGGGAAGCAGTGAGGGCTGACTCAGGGGGAGAAGGAAGCACAGACGGTGACGAACGAGGCGAACTAGGACGGAACAGGACAGTACGAAGGTCAGTGAGAGGGACAGGGGACGAGGGACGAGCACGAGGAGAAGGAGAAGTCCACGCGTGAGAAAGAGGAGGGGACAACGGAGGCTGAGAACGGGGGAAAATAGCTAGGGCGGAGTTAGGAGGAGGAAACGTGGGACCGTAAACAGGAGGAGAGGGGGAGGGGGGAGGAGAAGGAGAGGGGAGACCGAGGGTCTGAAGACTAGAGACAGGAGGCGGAGGTGGCTGCAGATGCTGCTGCTTCTGCTGCTCCTGCTGCGGCCGCCGCCGCTGCGGCTGCTCCTGCTGCTGCTGCTGCTGCTCTTGCTACGGCGGCTGCTGCTGCGGCTGCTGCTGCAGCTACTGCGCCTATTGCAGCTGCTGCCGAGTTACCACGGATTTTGTCACGGGGTTACCTTCGAGCCCCGAGGGGGAACGATGCGGTTATGGTCGTCGTTGACAGACTGACGAAAATGGCTCACTTCGCTGCGTGCAGGAAATCGATCTCGGCCGAAGAAACCGCTCGCATGTTCGTCGCAACCGTCGGTCGAGTGCACGGGATACCAGCCGCGATAATCAGCGACCGCGACACGAAGTTTATCATCAACTTCTGGAAGAACCTTTGGAGCAGTTCGGGACCAAGCTACAGGTCCGTTCTTCGTACCACTTCGAGACCGACGGCCAAATGGAGCGGACGAACCAGACAACGGAGCAGTTGATTCGTGCCACGTGTAAGGACCCGACAACATGGGAGCAGCAGCTGCCGCTGATCGAGATCGCGTACATCAACGTTACATCAGCGATGATGCATTAGTCCCCGTTTTATTTGAACTACGGGCAAAAACCAACAATGCCCATGACGCCGAGCCCGGACAACCCCATGCCACGTGCACAACAGTTCGCCGAGATTCTGGAAGCTGGCCGGACGCGCGCAACATACACAATTAAACAGCCAACATCATCGCAAAAAGGAACGCTGATCGCCACCGCCGCCCGGTAACATACCAATCCGGGGATTCCGTATTGCTCGACGCACAAAACTTAAGACTGCCCTCGTATCGAAACTTCGACCGGGCGCTACTGTGGACCGTTCCAAATCAGCCACATGATCACCCCAATTACCACCCATCTACTGTTGCCGACAAACTGGTACATCAGCCCACTACCACGTCAGCTTTCTTCGCCCGTATATCCAACCACAAGTCAACTGCCACGACATCGCCCACCGTCCATGACCCGACCTGCATCAGAGCCGATCGTCGAGCCCGAAAAAAATCCGAGCCATTGGATTTACCACCCTACAGGAATCAGGAGGATTGAGTTACTCGTTCACTGGAAGGACCGCACCGCAACCGAGGACAGTTGGGTGCCCCATGCCAACATTGAAAACCACCCTGCCCTACAAGTGTACTTGAGGAGTCGGGGTTTTTTCGACATTTCTTACCACGTGCTTCAACACCGCGTATAGCAGCATCCGTTGTTCGCCTGTTACTGCTAACGGGGCTTCGCCAAAATTCGCCCGCACTTTTTACCAAACCATGCACTGCTGGCCCGGCCGTGTCGGCCTACACCACGGAACTAGCTCGAGCCTCGATGCTAGCATCGCACCAGCTAGCTCGCACGCACCGCATTACCGTTTGCATGTTTCGCGTATAAGTATTCGCTCATGCCTTCGCTCAATTTGTACTCGTTTGACACCCTAGTGCAATTCTCGCTACTTAGATTCATTGCACCCGTAACAATTGGGCAAAAGTGACGCCTGAGTGTTGTATGCAATAGGCAGGCGCTCAGTGAGGGAGATATTTCCACTCCCTCAAATCCAATTCCATACTCAGGAGGCGTCGTCACTCCACACAGCCCTCCAATCAAAGCGTTTCTGTTACCTAACATGTATGCAGCCATCATGGCCGCACTTAGGGATGACCGTTATTCCAACCAGGAAAGCACAAATCTCCGGCTTGTGATGTTTTTTTCTCTTCTCGGTTGCTGCACGTGAGGCTTTTGAAGGAGTAATCGCTTTCTCTAGTTACCGATAGATCCAAGTTAGTGCTCGCTGAGCGTACTCTTTCCCGCCTAGGCCTCGTGTTTCCTCTTCTGTGACATGGAATTCTCGCTTCGATTTCGAGTTCCCTCTGTTCTGCTCAAAGCGAGCCATAGTGATGCGAATATTGGCAGAAGCATAGGCGCTAGTAGCAGCGCTGCCACTAGCCTTGCCGCTAAACGCGGCGAAGGAGGAACTGCGGCCACGATCCAACAGCCAGCCGCTTCCCACGTGGACTATCCCATCACCGTTGATCCGCACGAGCCGCTCCAATCAGCGTTTGACAAGCTCTTGCTGTCCCACCTGCCGCACTGCTGTCTACCAGGTCAGCAGACACGTCAGCAACATCATGACGCGGAGAGCGCTGAAATTCAAGAGGGGGGAAAGGGGAGCAGCGGTGATGGCGAAGAGAAGCAAGCGGTTTGGTTCATGGCTGTTGGACAAGTGGTGTACTTAACACCTACCTTATCCGCTGTCAAGGCCAGACTTAAATCGGGTACAGTGATCAAAGTGCTGTCAACGAAATCGAAAGCGGCGAAGGGAGGGAACGACGGCATAAACGGCGCACCGGTCTCTGCTAGCGCGTGGCCCCCCTTGTAGAATTCGAAGCTCTGTCGCTCACCCCTGCCATAAACCCCCCATCCGAGATCTCACCTTCGCCTGTTTCAGCATCTGCCCTTCCCTCTGCGCCTGCAACTGCTTCCGCACATTCCGCTCTCCCCGTGCCTGCGGAGAACAGCACAAACGTGGCAAACAACAGTTCCACCGCCGGCAGCGGCAGCAGCAGTAGCAGCAGCAGTAAACCCAGAAGCACCACAGGTGGCAGCAGCAAGGCTGGCAGCAGTGGGAGCTCTAGCAACCCTTTCCATACGGAGAACACGCCCTTATCGCGCGCGCACATGGTGCACTACGTGGACGTGCACCTGCCATGGTCGCACTCCCTCTGCGCCTGCTGCCTCCCCCGCATGCTCCGCCCCGCCCCGCCCATCGCCTTCCAGATGTCCTTGCTCACCTCCCTGCGCAAGCACCTGCAGCAGCCTTACGTGTCCAACATGCCGCCCTACCGCTTCGGCCATAAGCCCCCGCGCTTCATCACCGCATATTCCGCCATCGTCCCGCTCTCCGCTCCTCCGCTCCGCCCTCCAGGTAGTGTTACTGGTGCCAGTGCTGCTGCCGAAGAGAGTGTAGCAGCGCCGACATTGGCGCAGCAGTATTGGAGGAAGGTGGACTCAGCACCTGTGGTTGCAGCAGAGGGGATGATGCTCAAATGGCTGGCAGAGCCACGTGTCGGCCTGCTACTCGACCTCCAGAATCTCAGGCGCCAGCTGGCAGCTCTTCTTCATATGAATGAAATAGCTGCTGCGCGTGTGGCCACCGAGGCTACAGGCAACAGCGCGGCAGGTAGCGCTCGCCTGTGGTGGTGCTGCTGGCAGTGCAGCCACTGCTGGACACGCTACCGCCGTGCCGTGTCCATCGCTGCTTTCACCGTGCTGGTCGCCAAGCTCCCCCGCTTCGTCACTCTCTGGCGGTCGCACATCTGATCTGATTCTGTCATCTTTCCCGAGCTGGTCTTTCAGTTTGACGCAGGGCGGCAGACTGGGGGCGACTGCTTGGCGTCGCTGTTGCTGCAGGTGCTGGGAGTGAAGGGCAAGGAGCAGCTGGAGACCGGCTTTGCTGCCCACCTGCTGCTGCTGCTGCCGGGGGGGAGGCACGTGCATGGGCAGGCGGGAGGGGCAGGGGAGAGTTGGGGGACGGAGGTGGGAGAGGTGAAGGAGTGGAGGGAGGGGTTGGGAGGGGTGGAGTGGGAGGAGTATGTGCAGCGCGTGGGGGAGATTGTCGCTCAGGGAGGGCTGGCAGGCGAGCAGTACCGCTGCTGCTGCTCGCAGTGTGGTGAAGGAGAGAGCACCGAGGAATGATCGACTGGGGCTGTGGGAGTCCCACCCGGCAGCAGTGGCAGCAGTGGCATGGTGGTATCGGGTATGGACCCCACGGAGTTTGCTTTCTTGAGCTCTACTCTCTTCTGCCAGCCGCCATTCGCCCGCGCTGCTGCTCTCATCTTCTCCGACTGTGTTGGCAGCCGCCACAAGGAGAGAGTGGAGGACGCTGCTGTGGAGGAGGCAAGGAACCGGCTGGAAGTGGGGGAGAAAGGCATAGCTATTTCTGCTGCTACTGCTGCTGGGTCAACAGGTGCGAGGACCAAGGGACCCGGCACTGCAAGCGGCGCCAGGCTAGTGCTCGTGAACAGTAACGCAGTGGTTGGGCTGTTCACGTACCGAGTTACCTGCCTGCTGCGGTGGGTGCGATTCTATGGCTTCAGGGTCAACCCCATGGAGCACTGCGCATGCTCTGACCGGAAAAAGCCAGGCGTCGCTCTCCCACATCCTCTTCACGACCTTCCGAACCTGCTGCAGAGGTTCGGCGCTGCGCCCAAGCCTCCGACCGCCACAGGCTCGGAAGGTTCGGCAATGGCGGGCTGGGAGGAGTTTCCGGAGGGGGACAGGGCGGCAGTGGCGGCGCATGAGAAGGACCCCGGGGAGTTTATGGGCATCAAGACGTTCCAGGTGGGGCCATTGTTAGTGTTAGCCTTCAATCTCACACTTTGTACTTTGTATTTTCTATATCCTAGAGTAGTGTAGTTTGCACATTGTGTTTGGTTGGGTGTACACCTACATCCCAACCAAACCCAAATGTAATCTCCAAGCAATCTCCAACCCACCAATTGGAGATTGCCTTGGGATTACCCCCAATCCCTAGGGATTGCCTCTGATTTCCTTCCCCAACTATTCCTTACCCTTCTTGGATGTACTTAAAGAGCTTCAAGCTCATTACTAATGCATCGCTTCTAAGCCTAAGTTTTGATATGGTATCAGAGCTCTACATCCGCACATGCGGATCGTGATCCTCCTATCTATGCGGATGTTCTTCCCGCAAACCTCGTCATAGCCTCCTTCAATCTCGTCGCCGTCGATTCGCGACATTCATGGGCGGAAATTCCCCCGCACCACTTTCCCGTCAACTTCGACGACGTCTTCAATTTCTATGGTACGCTCATCGACGTCGCTCTAACTTATCGTTCCTTTTTCGTCATCTCTCAACTTCTTCACCGCGTCACCTCTTCTCGTCGGGCCACCGCCCGTCGCCCCGCAGCTTCCCGTCGGGCCGCCGCCCTTCGCCTCGCTGCTTCTCGTCGGGCCGCCGCCCGTCGCCCCGCATCTGCACTTCTACCCCCATTCCCCTTTTCCCGCAGCTGAACAGGTGCAGCAGCGCAGCCGAGCAGCAGTGCAGCAGCGCAGCCGAGCAGCTGAGTAGCCGCGAAGCCGTGCAGCAGCGTAGCCGCGAAGCTGAGGGTGGTGTGTGGGGGGGTGTGTGGGATTAGGGTTAGATCTACGGAAGTCGGCCGATTTTACCTAGTTTTGGCGGCCTAGAAAATCCTTCTACGAGGCATCCCGACGCGGTCCTATCGGTGACTTAAGAGCGGCGCTTCGCGCGAGACACCAAGGGATCTCCAGCATGGCCTTCACCGCGTCCACCATGGCCAACCCCATCACCCCACTCCGTCTTGAAGCCGATGGCTCTAGCTCCAACTTCAAGGCATGGAGCTATGGGGTCGATAAGCACCTGCTGAGCCGTGACGTGCAAGGATTGGACCTCAAGGATGTCCTCCTCAACCGTGGCAAGGGAAAACAGCCCCTTCTCCCTCGTGAGCCGACCGAATCCGCCACTGAGACTGACACAAGGGCATATGAGGAAGCCGTTGAGAAGTACCGGAAGTGGGAGAAGGCCGATGCTGCTATTATCAGCGTCTTCATCGCCTCCACCCCTCCAGAACTTGTCAACACGTTCCATAACTACCCTACCTCCAACGCCATCTGGAAGTATCTCCAGGATAGTTTCATGAACAAGACTACAGTCGGAGTTGCCATCCTCATCCCCAGCATGTTCCAGGTCCGCCTTGAGGATTGCTCGGGAATGGCCGACTACATTGCCAAGGTTCAGACCATTCATGGCGAACTCAAGGAGCTGGGTATAGTCTTCCTCGAACAAGCCCCTGCAGTAGCTCTTCTTGTTGGCCTCACCACAGCCTATGAAATCACAAGGAAGATGCTCCTCACGCTGACTGCGGAAGACCTCACTTTTGCCAAGGTCTCCACCGCACTCCTCTCTGCCGAGAAAGACTCCACGGCTCAAGCCAAGGCCTACGACATCCGTGCTTCCATGCCTCAAGCAAGTGTCGCAGCGGCCCTTGCCTCGGCGCCCTTCCAGCGCAACCGCTTCCCACCGTGCACCTACGTCGTCAAGTATGGCAACCGCAAGGGACAAGTGTGTGGTGGCACTAACCACCCCCTTGCTACGTGCTTCAAGAAGAAGGACGACGAATGGTACGCCATCCACGGCATAGACAAGAGGCCACCGAACTGGATGCGTGCGCGAAAGGCCAACCTGGTTGAGGTCCAGGACCCCGCTTCGGCTAGTGCTAGTGATAGTGCTCCTGCTGATGTGCGTATCAACCTGTTGTTCCCTGGCACTGCCATGATTAATGAAGCTTCCTCCCAGTACCTCGGCTCATCACAAGCACCACAATACATAGAGCTCACACTCGACAGCGGCGCCACTCACACTGTGCTCAAGGAGACACTCTCCTTCAAACCCTACGCAACACCCATCCCTCTCCTAGGAGCTGACTCAAGCTTCACCACTCTTGCCAAGGGTTCATCCATAGTCCCGTGCCCCGCCTTCCCTTCCGGCACTGTCACTGGAATGTGCGTGCCTTCACTCCGCCACAATCTCGTGGCCCAAACGAAAATTCAGGAAGCTGGGCTACGCACCATCTTCTGGGAGAACGAGAACTATGGTGATATCCTCGACCCACTCACCAACAAGGTCTTGACTCGTTTCACCCTCAACAGCAGCGGCCTTTACACGCTGCAAGTACCCATCCCACAGGTGTCAACCACCCTAGCAGAGGCAACTACCTCACCATGCTCGTGTCGCACCTTCTCCAACCCGACCATACTCTACCACCATCGGCTTGGGCACCCAAACTTCCGCACACTTGCTAACATGGCCTCCAAGAAACTTCTACTCGGCCTGCCAGCCTCACTGCCTCCACCACCAGACTCCCCCGCTCCCACGTGCCTTGACCGCACCAAGAGCAAACTGCCTCAACAGCCCCACCCGGCCTCACCCTCTGTCGCAGCAACACCATTGGACTTGGTACACGTGGACGTCTGGGGCCCTGCCCCTGTTCCCGCACGAGGTGGTTATCGCTACTTCCTTGTTATCGTCGATGACCACTCTCGCTACGTCTCTGTTCACCTCCTCCACACTAAGGCTGCGGTTCCAGAGGTCCTCATGGCGTGGGTTAAACAGGCACAGACCACCTTTGACTGCAAAGTCAAGCGCCTTCACTCGGGGTGGTGGTGAGTTTTGCAACGACAAGCTCAAAGCCTTCTGCTCCTCAGAAGGCATCCAGCAAAACTTCACCCTCCCTGACAGCCCGCAGCAGAACAGCATATCTGAGAGCCGCAACCACACCCTGGTGCAGATCACTCGGTGCCTCCTCGGCCACTCCAACGCTCCGCACTCTCTCTGGGGGTACGCACTCTACCACGCCGCCCTCCTCTACAACCTTTACCCCCACCCGCATCTTCCCGACACCACTCCAACCACACTCTGGCTCGGGAAAACGCCCACTGCTCGCTCTCTTCGCGTTTGGGGGTGCACCGCCTATGTCCTCCTCAACCCTCAGGCTCGACGGCAGCACGGCGGCAAGCTCGGTCCCAAGACCCAGACGTGCATCTACCTCGGGCACAACGCCGACTCGCCTGACTACCTCTTCCTCAACCCCTCCACTCAACAGTTGGTCCGGAGCCGCGACGTTGTCTTTGATGAGACCCGCCCATTCTACTCCACTTCGGGGCGGGACCCTCTCTTTGATCCACCCTCCCTCGTGTGGGCAGACTTTGATGTGCCTCCTGACCTCCTGCCTGCTCTGGCCCCTTCACCTCCTACCCCTCCTGCCACCGCACCGTCCCCCTCTGAGGTCTCTGACCCGCCCTCACCGGTGTCTTTTGCAGCTGCTCCTCCCTCCCCCTCACCTGCCGCCCTGCCATCTGCGCCGCCACCTCCGAGCGCACCAATCACATACCATCGGCGGTTGCACCCTCCGGCCCCACCTCCTCCCCCAGTCCCCCCTTCCTCCCAGGCACCTGCTCCTCCACAGCCGCCCAAACTTATCACGTACAAGCGGCGGCCAATTCCCCCACCCAAGCCTCCTAAGTCAATCCCTCAGACACCGCCTGCTCCGCCCTCCTCTCCGGTAGCCCATGGCACTCGCTCGCACGGCCCTGCTCCCCCTCTGGCCCTGGCTATTCGTTGCTCCACGATCACTTTGACTCCTCCTGCTGGGGAGGATGTGCCCTCTACCCTTCTGGAAGATAGGCATGAGGAGCTTTATGATCTTCACGCAGTCATTCCCCAGCTCTCGCACATCTTCCCTGACATCACTGAATCACCCTCACTCAACTTCACGGAAAACCCGATCATCCCTATCCCTCTCACCGTCCAAGAGGCTCTCTCAGGCCTTCATGCTGCCGAATGCCGTGCTGCCATGGAAGCGGAGATTGAAGCATTCACCCGCAACCACTCCTTCGACGACGAGACTCCACCTCCAGGAGTCAACATCGTCGGGGGCAAGTGGTTGTTCCGTGTAAAACAGCTCCTAGACGAGGCCCTGGTGTTCAAAGCGCGCTACGTAGCTAAGGGCTTCACCCAGCAGCAGTACCGCGACTTCTTCCTAACCTTCTCCCCCACATCCAAACCTCCCACCATTCGTACGCTCATGGATGTCGCAGCTCGAGAAGACTTTGATATCAAATCCATGGATGCCTCATCCGCCTTCCTACAAGGACGTCTCAAGGAGACAGTGTTCATGGACAGACCTGAAGGCTTCCCAGGAGAATTCCCTCCCAACACTGTCTGGAAGCTGAATCGCCCCATCTACGGCCTTAAGCAAGCCCCTCGCGAATGGCACAACAAGGTGAAAGAAGTCCTCCTCTCCCTGGACTTCCACCCTTCATCTGCTGACCCGACTCTCTTCATCCGCCGTCATTCTGGGCCATTCTACATCCTGGTCTACGTGGATAACTTCATCCTCGTTGCCAAGGACTCGGCCCAGATGACCTCTATCCAGGCAGCCCTGAGCAAGGCGCTCCATATGAAAGACCTCGGTGACCTCAAGCACTACCTGGGGATGGAGATCACTCGTGATCGCCAGGCTCGCACCATTTCACTCTCCCAGGAGTTCTACATCGATTATGTGCTCAAGCGGTTTGAGATGGAGCTGTGCACACTTGTTGCCACCCCGCTGCCGCTGCAACACCTCCTCACAGCTCCAGCTGTACCCACAACAGAGGCCTGCTCTGAGCCATACCCGGAGCTTGTTGGGTCCCTCATGTATGACATGATGTGCACCCGGCCGGACTGTTATGTGGTGCTATCATCTGCATTCACGTCTGTCTGCCTCCCATCATATGTTCGTTCGTTGCATGCGTGGTGTGAGCGTGCGCAAGAATTTGTGTTTTCTGTGGTTTGGTTTTTCTGAGTGTGTGTGAATGTAATTAGGCTTGAGCAGATATCTGAAGTGACTCCTCTGCTCAAGATCTTTCCGACGAACCAAGTATCGCTTCGATCGGAGCACGAACAAGAAAGTTACGAACGTTGGAGTTCGTATGCTTTTGATGTTTGGTTGTGGTGACTATGGGAAGTTGTGGGGTTGACTCAATATGGGGTACAGACTTTTGGGGGTTGGGAAATTCGTCTTTTCTACTATAGTTGCTGCTAAATGGTTGGGAGAAACCAAACCAGGTTGGCAAGTGTGGCCAAGTTGGGTTGAGGTGGATTGTGGAGGTTGGGATAGTGACAAAGGTCAAAGTTGGGTTGCCTATGGGGAAGGGAATTGTATGGCATGGGGTTTCCTTGGTTGGGGACTCTCTTGGGACCTTCCCTCTCGTCCTCCTCATCCCTTCCACCTGGTTTAGTGCTACTCTAATTCTCTTGTGTGAACTTGTGTGAACTTGTTATTGAGTTAAGATTCTATGGCAGCATACCCCCTAATGCGCCGAAATTGATAACTCAAGAAATACTTCACCTTTGTGTACGATTCAACTTGGGAATTGTAGCCACGGACTAGAGCTACAACATATCTGAAATTGGTGAAGTTTCGACGGTGCGTGTTTCGTCGACGGCGTTTCTTGTGAAATCGACGATTCTGTCCAGAAATTGTGACCAACGATTTTGAGATATTTCGGCCCCTGTTCTTCATAGACTCCGTCCTTAGTCTCTAACACGGACTTGGCCTATCCTGTCAGTGTCCTCTCTCGCTACGTGGCCCCTGGACGCTTCACTGATCTTCACTGGAAGGCGGCGAAGCGGGTGCTGCGCTATCTTCAGGGCACCAAGTCTCACGTTCTCACACTCGGTGGGCTCTCCCCTCCTCGCCTGGAAGGTTACACCGACTCCTCCTGGGCTGATGACCAGACCGACCGACGCTCCTCTCAGGGGTACTGCTTCACCCTTGGGAGCGGAATTGTCAGTTGGCGCTCCACCAGGTCGTCTGCTGTCTCCCTCTCCTCATGTGAGGCAGAGCTCTACGCAGGCACCATGGCTGCTCAGGAGGCCCGTTTCCCACAGTCCGCCCCCACCCTCTGGTGTGACAACCAGAGTACCATCCACATCTCTCAAGACCCTGTGTATCACACCCGCACCAAGCATACTGAACTCCGGCACTTCTTCATCCGTGACCTTGTCCAGCAGGAGCAGTTGAAAGTGGAGTACGTTGCATCTGACTGCAACCTGGCTGATCTATTCACCAAGCCCCTTGGGAAAGTTCCCCGCCACCGTCTCCTTGGCACCATGGGGCTCTGTGCTCCACCCTCTCTGCCCTGAGTTCGATTGACGCCTATGGGGGGGTGTTAGTGTTAGCCTTCAATCTCACACTTTGTACTTTGTATTTTCTATATCCTAGAGTAGTGTAGTTTGCACATTGTGTTTGGTTGGGTGTACACCTACATCCCAACCAAACCCAAATGTAATCTCCAAGCAATCTCCAACCCACCAATTGGAGATTGCCTTGGGATTACCCCCAATCCCTAGGGATTGCCTCTGATTCCCTTCCCCAACTATTCCTTACCCTTCTTGGATGTACTTAAAGAGCTTCAAGCTCATTACTAATGCATCGCTTCTAAGCCTAAGTTTTGACAGCCATTTCGTGGCGGTAAATTGGACTGGGAGGAGATAAAGAAGGAGTACAAACTGAGGGAGCTGAGCCCGTCGCACCTGGCCTCCATATCCTCCTCTCATCCCAACCCTGGAGTCTGGAGCACTCTGCACGACAACACCAGCGGTCCCTACTTCCCCACGCTGGGCCACTGCGTGGAGGAGTTTCTGAGAAGGTTCGCTCCGAAGAAGCTGGCAAAGGAGGGCAGGAACGGCCCTCTGGCCCGCGCTATCACCTCCTGGGCTGCCTGTTCAGGCATGGAGGATCGAACATGGGCAGCTCTGCCTCTGGGGCCGTATGCAGAGGGGAAGATCGAGCCAATCCTACGGTCGAGAATGGAGGTGGACACGTTGATAGAGATGATCGCGAATACCAATGCGCCCATGCCTGCCTGCACCCGCTGCCGCCTCTGCATCGGCAAGTACTACCTGGCTGTGAAGCACACGTCGCTTGTTGCGTCCTTCGCCTACCGCCCCTCGTCCGCGCTGCTGCGCTGCCTCCTCTCGCTCTTCCCGCCGCGCTCCGCGACCTTCAGATTTATCCTGGAGAGTCTGCGCGTGCCGCCTATCCCTGCGGTGGTCCCGAACTCGCTGGTGGCGCCACTGCTGGAAGGCCTGATGGAGGAGATGCGTCTAGGGCTGATCTACATGGGCATACTCCACATCAGTAAGGCGAATGCTTTTCCGTCCATTCTGGAACCCGTCAGCAGCGACGCAGGCGGACAGGTGGAGGGGGAGAAGCAGCAGCAGCCGCAGGAGGGGGAGGAGGAGTGGAGGATGTGGGAGGAGGTGGACAGCTGGCGGATGGCGGCTGGGAACGCGTGGCCTGCTGTGGAGGCGCACGATGCACCGCTGCATATGGGAGCAGGGAAAGGAACGGGGCGTGTGCCAGGGGAGGTGTCGGAGGAGTGCTGTGAGGCCATGAGGCGTGCAATGGTGGAGGAAGAGGAGGCCCTTGCTGCTGCCAGGAAGAATTCTGGGAAGGGGCGGAAGGGGAGGGCAGGGGCGTGGTACCTGGAGCCATGGCCGGGGGGTGTGAATCCTCTGGCGTGTTTGAGGGAGATGCTGCTGGGGGAGACCAGCTACTGCCCCCAGGCCAAGCTGGACGCTCTTGCTGCAGCTGAGGGGCGCAGTGGCAAGCTAGGGCAGCGTGGGTGTGCCTCCCCGCGGTGTGGCAAGGAGGAAGGGGCGGGGGTGCAGCTGAAGCTATGCTCGCGGTGTGGCAAGGTTGCCTACTGCAGCAGGGAGTGTCAGAAGGCTCACTGGCCCTCGCACAAGCTCATGTGCCAGCCCAAGGTTAGGGAGGGAGGCGCGTCGTCCTAGGTGGGATAGCGTGAAGGGCTTTAGTCCAGGCTGTGTACGTATGTGGGATGGTTGAGGAAGACTATGGTCGGTATACTGTAGTTTGCCTGCTATCAAGGTGCTGCTTGACTCATGCCTTATCAAGCTACCGTTTAAAGCAGCGGTATACATTTGGCAGGGCCAGTGCCAAAAGTTTATAAAAGGGACATGGTGGATACCAATTTACAGGCCCACTCAACTTCACCCACGAGCGACGATTCCCAAGAGTTCCCAACCCTGACACCAGCCAAGTCCACTCAATCGTCGAAAGTTTATACATGCCAAAAGTATACTGAAGGAGCTCCAGCCGTAACCATTCTCCCCGTGAACTGCTCTGAAAACTAGCTATTCGCGCCAATATGTGCCATCACGATCAAGCTTGAGGTATCGCTTAGGTCAAACGCCGTCCATACCATGGCGTAGGGTTTGCGACGCCTCGTAACACCTCGCTTCGTAGACTCGCCTCAACGCCCGTCGCGGCGTCACCTCTCGGCAAATCCGCTCCCGGCGTCGTCTCGCCGCAAATACTCCCGCGGCGTCGCCTCGCCGCAAATCCGCTCGCCGCGTCGCATCGCCGCAAATCTGTTCGCGGCGTCGCCTCGCCGCAAATCCTCGAAGCGGAAGCGCCTCGCCGCAAAGCCGTGGGAAAGCGTCGCCTCGTCGCAACATGATGCCTCCTCACGCTGGCCACGCCACACGCTGGGGGCCTTCTTGCTTCTCCCAATGTACCCGTTTCGCGGCCCGATTTCCCGTTACCGCCTCCCGATCTCCCATCTCCGCCTCCCACTCTCCCCTTCCCACCCCCGATCTCCCCTTACAGCTCCCCGTTCTCCCCGTCGTGCCTCCCGTTCTCCCATTCCCACCCCCGATTTCCCCTTACAGCTCCCCATTCTCCCCTCACTTCCCTCCCTTCCCTCGGTTCCCTCTCTTCCCTCCCCTCGGTTCCCTCACTTCCCTCCCTTCCCTCGTTTCCCGCTCTTCCTCCCCTTCCCTTGTTTCTCTCTCTTCCCTCCCTTCCCTCGTTTCCCTCTCTTCCCTCCCTTCCCTCGCTTCCCTCTCTTCCCTCCCTTTCCTCGTTTCCCTCTCTTCCCTCCCTTCCTTCGCTTCCCTCTCTTCCCTCCCTTCCTTCGGTTCCCTCTCTTCCCTCCCTTCCCTCGTTTCACTCTCCATCCTCCCTTCATTCGTTGTTTCCCTCTCTTCTCTCCCTTCCCTCGTTTCCCTCTTTCCCTCCCTTCCCTCGTTTCCGTCTCTTCCCTCCCTTGCATCGTTTCCCTCTCTTCCCTCCCTTCCCTCGTTTCCCTCGCTTCCCTCCCTTCCCTCGTTTCCTTCGTTTCCCTCCCTTCCCTCGTTTCCCTCTCTTCCCTCCCTTCCCTCGGTTCCCTCTCTTCCCTCCCTTCCCTCGTTTCCTTCGTTTCCCTCCCTTCCCTCGTTTCCCTCTCTTCCCTCCCTTCCCTCGGTTCCCTCTCTTCCCTCCCTTCCCTCGTTTCCCTCTCTTCCCTCCCTTCCCTCGTTTACCTCTCTATCCTCCCTTCCCTCGTTTCCCTCTCTTCTCTCCCTTCCCTCGTTTCCCTCTTTCCCTCCCTTCCCTCGTTTCCCTCTCTTCCCTCCCTTGCATCGTTTCCCTCTCTTCTCTCCCTTCCCTCGTTCCCCTCGCTTCCCTCCCTTCCCTCGTTTCCTTCGTTTCCCTCCCTTCCCTCGTTTCCCTCTCTTCCCTCCCTTCCCTCGGTTCCCTCTCTTCCCTCCCTTCCCTCGTTTCCCTCTCTTCCCTCCCTTCCCTCGTTTCCCCCTCTTCCCTCCCTTGCATCGTTTCCCTCTCTTCTCTCCCTTCCCTCGTTTCCCTCGCTTCCCTCCCTTCCCTCGTTTCCCTCGCTTCCCTCCCTTCCCTCGTTTCCCTCGTTTCCCTCCCTTCCCTCGTTTCCCTCTCTTCCCTCCCTTCCCACGCTTCCCTCTCTTCCCTCTCTTCCCACGCTTCCCTCTCTTCCCTCCCTTCCCACGCTTCCCTCTCTTCCCTCCCTTCCCACGCTTCCCTCTCTTCTCCCCATCCTTCCTTCCTTACACACTCCTCCTGCCGTTCTCACTCTTGCAATCCTCACTGCCATCCCTCGATACCCTTGTCGTCACCTCCCCTCCCCTACCCCCTACTCCCATCTCACCTCCCCTCCCCTACCCCCTACTCCCATCTCACCTCCCCTCCCATACCCCCTACTCCCATCTCACCTTCCCTCAAATACCTCTTCTTTTCCCGCCCCCTACCAAGGGCACTTTGCTCATACCCTGCCCCTCCAGGTCTCTTACCCTCATATTCTCCCATGTTTGGCTTCCCACTCTCTTTTTGTTTTAGGGTTTCGGAGTTGAGTTTGACTTCTACATTCCTGCGCAACTCCCGATACAGCCCACCCGTGTCATCATGGCGATACTCTCGCATACCGTGCTTCTCTTGCAGGCGGGGTGACTCCAACTCCGCACATCCTACCACCTGCGCCAATCCCCACACATCAAAACCACCTCTCCACTGCATCCCACACTAGTTTCATTCTCGTCTCCAACAGCTCTCACATCAAAATCCCCTTGATCGGTTTCTGTGCTTGTGTTGCAGGTGGGGTGCCTTCCGGACAGTACATCCTTCTATTTGCGCCTCACAAGCAACCTACGTGGCAGCAATTTGGGCATGGATAGGCAGCGATGGCAAAGTGTATGGCAGGGGATCGTTGCCACAGCCACGTGCGAAGCAGCTAGCCTCTTGGCCTGTCCGTGGTTGATCCAATCATCCAATCTGCCACCTTGAACATTAGCACACACCATAAACACCCCCTCACATCCCCTTATAGGTGTTTCTGACTGACTCAACCAATCGTGCCATCAAATACTTGTTTCAGTGTTTTGCACCAACTGGTTATTGACCGCGGTGTTCTGTGACATCATGACAAGTTGCAAACATCATGAGTGTATAGCACGTACTGTTCCAAAACACAGTATGTAAGCAAAGCAGTTTGGTTACAAGTAAACGCACAGAGTAATCCATGCATGCGGCACTAACTTCGTGACTCCCGATCGGGGAAGTGCGCAGCCAAGTTGGATTTGCAGTCAATGCGGGAAATGTGATGGTGCTCAGAGGCGGTGGGGAGGATAGGCGAGCGAGGAAAGGGTACACGCAGCAGGTCGCCTTTCCTGGACGCCTATGCTTTTGGGGCTGAAGTACCACATTTGTTGCTGCAGAGCAAATATGCCAGTTGCCGTCCGTCCACAACGCTGCTGAACCTGAGTGGATGGTGGTAAGGAGGGCGGGGTGAGAAGGGATGCGCAGAGGATGGATGGGGTGAGAAGGGATGAGGCACAGATGGGATGAGGCAGAGAGGGTAACATGGGTTAACGCTGGTGTTACTACGGTACTGAAGTGGAAAGTGGAAACAGGGGGGAAAAGTAGGGGAAACACGGGGGTAAAAGGAGGGCTGCAGTGGAGGAAAGGATGGGACGCAGTGGGGGAAAGGAGGGGAAGGAGTGGGGAAGATAAGGGGAAGCAGTGTGGGAGACAGGGGGAAGGAGGGAAGGAAAGGAGGGGAAGTAGTGGTGGAAATCAGGGGAAGCACGGGGGGGAAAGGATCGCGGATGGGGTTGGGGAAAGGATGGGATGCAGCGCGTGACAGGAGGGGAAAAGTGGGGGAAAGGAGGGGAAGCAATGGGGGAAAGGAGGGGAAGCAGTGGGGGAAAGGAGGGGAAGCAGTGGGGGAAACGAGGGGAAGCAAGGGGGGGAAAGGAGGGGAAGCAAGGGGGGGAAAGGAGGGGAAGCAACGGGGGGGAAAGGATGGGAAGCAAGGGGGGAAAGGAGGGGAAGGAGGGAGCACCGACTGGTGCGCACAAGGAAGAATGATGCAATAATTTTGCTGCAAGGTCAGATCACGTGGACCCAATGCATCGACCGAACGAGGCCAGGGTTTAGGGAACGACCATGCTTCCACATGTGTTCACCGTGCACCACAAGGGAATGCAATGACTGTGATGGACAGAAGGAGATAGGAGGAAGACAAGAATGGCTAGCAAACACCATGGCATACAGCATGGCATGGCATGGCATGGCATACGGTCTCTCACCAGCGTACTCAGATCCTGCCCTCGCAGCCAGCACAGTGAGAACACTAGCAGAGGAGGTGGAAGAGGATGAAGAGGAGGAGGAAGGCGAGGAGGCGTCTCCTGGTAGAGCGCTATCCTCGTAGTAGATGGTGCCCAGCTGATCAAACACCTTGCTGTATGCGAACACGCCATGTGGCTCGCCGTCCATCCCTGGTGGGGGGCGGAGGAGAGGGGGGCGAGCGGGGAGAGTAGAGAGAGGTGGGGGGAAGAACAGGTGTGAGGATGGAGAAGCAGGGTGGGGCTGTGTATGGGACAGCCAAGTGTGGAAGCAAGCTTCTCTTGCTCCATGTGTCACGAGGCTACTACCAATGACCCGCTCCACTGACTGAACACACACCCTACTCACTCACCACAGCTCCCCTCACTGACCACCCGCCTAACTCACTGACCACGCACGGCAGGGGGTCTTCACTAGTGTCCTGCACGCCAGCTGACTGTTGGGTAACACAAAAAAACAAAAACACTGCTGCCACACAACAGAACAGAACATATAGCTTCCAACAGGTCCTCCCAGGTTGTTTCTCACGGCCATAAGGCGCGAAATGGGTGACTTACAAAGGATAGGGGGTGGCGGCATACCGGGTGATGGTGGAGGGCGCCACAACGGACATGCCCGCACAGTCCAGAAATGCCCCTGCCACCTCCCTCTCTGTGAATGCCCGCCTGCACGATGCTGGCATGCACGTGGCCAGGCTTGTCTGCAGCGGATATATGCATGCATGCATGCATGCATGGATGGATGGATGGAGGTGAATATAATAACATAAAATGGATTAGAATGAAGGTTGTAAGCATAAACACACTTTGAGATAACAAACTCACACACGGATGGCAGCCCTCAAATGATTCGTTCGTCTTGATGTCATCGTACATTTGTCAAGGGTCCTGCAATCAGTGAATATACATGTGCATGTGTAATATTAGAGTGTTGCGGGTCGGCCAGCATTGACGAAATGCACCCCCATAAACTTACCAAGCAAGGATCGCGGTGCTGTGGAGGGTTGTCCCTCATTGGTACGCCTCCGCTTCGGAGGGGGCTCGGGTGTTGCCGGTGCAGTGGGGGTAGCGGTGTCAGACCCGGGGACCGCTGAAGCAGCAGGCGTCATGCAATTCCACTCTCGTATTATGTCGTCGACCCAACTCCAGTTCATAGGCCCTAAGATCCGCGAGCTCTTACCACGCCGCACCCTGGTAACTCGACTCATCCTGATCTTGGTTGCACGAACCTCCCTATCCAATGAATGGTTCCAATGCAACACTGTAAGACCAACCCGTGCCCTCATGCTTCCTCGAAACAGTGTGCATTTCGGAGCATACTTGCAGATCAGTGAATGAAATGATTCATTCATCCAATTGCAAGACCCATGAACATATGGTCTCATCTCGACCTCCCCACAGTTTTCCTCTAACCACTCCTTGAACGCGATATGTGTACGAGAACCATGTTGGTACAGTACACTCTCTGGTCCCCAGTGATCAGTCACGCATCTAGGGGTCTCTGTGCCGCCACCACAGCGGGAATGATCCCCAGCCCAATGAGCAGCTGCACTCCCAATCTCCCTGGCTACATCCTTAGCAGTCATTGGCACTCCCTGTTTCCAGGGTAACGCGCATCGTGCCATCACATGATGGAAGTGTACACTAAACATTTGAGCCACTGTCACCTCCTCGATCAGCTCATCCGGATCTTCCATAACCTCCTCTTGCACTGCAGCGCCCGACCCACTCCTCTTCCCGCCACGGGAGCGCCTATCCACCCAGCGTCGAGCGTGCTCCGCGGTCCCTCTATCCCCGTCTGATCCAACAGCTGCACTTGCCCCATTTGTGCCTGGTGGGAGGGCATAACAATACAAGGGAGTTTTGTCTTCGACATCATTCTCTGGAGTCTCATGTGCAAATGCGCTAATGGATCATATGGATCACAACTTGGATGGAATAGCACTGCGGACACCATTGCAACGTGAAACATCTCACCTGTCTCACCAGCACTAGATATGTGCCTCGGTTCGGCGGCCACCATGCCACGAGTCGTGTCGGCGTGCCGCGCCACAGAGGCCTGCATGATGAAGAAAGATGCCACCGAGCAAGGCCGCACTCCAAGCTCGGGATGTGGATCATATCCCCACGGCTCTCTAACATCCGAATAATGCAGATCTATCCGGCCGGGATCGACTGCAGTCACTGTGGCTCCCTCCTCCAAAATGTCAATAGCAACAAAGTCGGAACAGCTCTCGCGCGTGAGAAAGCTCTCTGTCGTCGCATCATACTTGTCTCGACTCTCTTCGGTTGACTGAGTGATCGGAACGTCAACTCTCTCCACCCTCTCCCCGCCCTCTGTGCACGACCCGTCATGACAAGTTGCGCGGGAGGCTGATGATGTGGTCGCCATGCCTTTGCCGTGTCTGCGACGTATACATGCAACTCGTCGCATCTCAGGGTACTTCCACGGCGAATCATCCTTAGACAAATCCACGAACTGGATACCACGCATACGACAGATTTCCTTTATGAGTTTTATTCTGGGCGTTTTTTTGTTTATACCTTTGAAACCTGAACCTCCATGAACTTTCAACCAGGAACGCATATCATCCGGCTTGACATTCCACCAATCTTCAATGGTCTTTGCCTCAATGGCACTGATTGTGTCCTCTCGGGCATCCACGAAAAACTTGACGAACTTTCGTGACAACGAACGACCTTTGTGCCATACATCCATCTGATGCTCAATGTCTGTACCAAGAATACCAACCTTGAAACTCGTCCCCTCGTCAGTGATGATACCTTTCACAGGAAACCCCCACTTTCTGAAGTCTTCCATCCCCCTATCAAAAGCCTTTTTCTCTAGTTGCGTCGACGTCACACCTTCTTCGGTTTTGGGTAGTGTCACACAGTGTATAATCCTACGTGTGAAAGGATCCATAAATGTGACACTGCACCACTCAGCCTCTCGTACCTGACCCCACCTACCATCCACGCAAATCCAATAACCGCTCTCCTTACGAGCCAGCATGCACTCACGCGCCATTTCCATACACCTCGTAGCATGTGCAATTATCTTTTCCCACAGACCACCCGCCCCACTCATGTACTTATAAAACGTTCTCTTACATGCGATTGGCACACCCAAGTTCCTGCCTACCTCCGATAGAGCCTGGTAACCTAAACCAGCAAGTGCAAAAGACGCGAGGAACCGTTGCAGCATCGGCAAACTTTTTCGGCCAGGCTTGTCTGCAGCGCTCGGTGGTGGTTTGCGATCGACAGACCAGACCGAAACGGGCTTTCCACACCTATCGCAGGTCCACACCAGTCCGAGAACAGCCCACA